TTCGTCCAAAAAATGAGAGAACTATTAAAAGTTCAATCCATCATTGTAACATAGTTTGAAATAAAAGTCTGATAAACCAGATCTCATCTTTTTTCTTTTCCAACAGCCTGATCATCTTTCGATGTGTCTACTATCAACAACAACAGCTGGGTTTATATGAAGGTTCCGCTGAACCTAAAGAGGTTTTAATATAACTTGATTCTCAAATATATTCAGATTGTGAAATATGATGCTCACTCCTCCGCTGGGATTCACTGCTCTAAAGAATCTTTTTCGTCAGCTCCCTTATCGCAGGGTTGGGCCCAGAAATCCTGATGATGGTTCTCAAAGATGTCACAATGCATAATGTATACAAGTAGGTGGATGTCTGCTGACATTCAGCAAACAGGAATGCAGTGTCAAGGACCTGGTTAGTCTGGTCCTTGGGGACAGGAAGCTCACCGCTATGAGAGCACAAGCTGCTTGTTTTGTTTTTAGAAAGCGTGCTGTGCATACGCGTGTCTCTTGCTTGCACATCCTATGGGAGGCACATGTGGCTCTACGTCAAACAAGCACACACACACACTAAATCTACTGGGTGGGTACTGGGAATGTCTCAGACAGGATGCAACGTCTTTGGAGGAAACCTCGGTAAGACCTGCCTTGTGTGTGTGTCTGGTCCAGGTATTACTCATATCGTGGGGACCTGAATCTGTTACAGGGGTACAAGTCACTTTAAAATATTTCATTAAAGACATGAAGACATGATAAAGTTTAGGAAGAGACACACACTCCTTATCAGCACACGCACACACACACACACACTCCAGTAAGACAAAAGACACATATCCTCTGCATGTGACATCCATCTCGAGCAAGGCTAAGCTCCATATCCTCCCCATGATCCCTCAACCAGAGAGGCAACATCCTCTGGTGGCAGTGAGGGGAAGCTGGCCTCACTGAGACACTCGGCTCTGCAACAGGTAACACCACAACGCCACAGCTAAAAACCTCCAGTCTTTGCTTTCCACCTTTTTAATCCTCGGGCCAGGAACTCAAATCTTTCTGTCTGGTAAGAGCCCCCACTCAAAAGACAACCGGAGTCTCTTCATGTGTGTGTAGGGAGAGATTTATGATTTATTTTGATTTGAAACTGATGACATTAAAATGTTCCATTTGTTCTTTTTCAGGTTTGTCTTGGGATGGTCTTCTTGGCGCATGTCGCCCTGCCCTGAGCCAAGGATTTGCCAACGGACCTGAGGGGAGAGGCGTACTACTTTTCATCTGTCGCATCTGTGAGAAAGGAACAAAAAGACAGAATCCTTTCTCTTTTTTTTAAATATAAGAAATAAAAAAGGACGGGAAGAGGAAGAAGAGGAAAAACTGGAACAATGATGGAACTGACGATTCAACTTATCCCGACAGGGGAAATCATCTTTTCTCCAGGGAAAAATGGAGAAAACTACTGCCACGGCTGCAAGGTCAGTTCACACACAATGTCCACATCTGGATTCTGAGTGTCCCCACTCGTCCTTCGGTTCAGTGGATCTGTGCGTGGGCTCAGAAGGTAGAAATGAATGCTGGCCCAGGTCAGGTTATAGGAAAAAAATGGTAAATTGCTTCAAATTACACTGCAACCATTCTAATTTGAATGAACACATACAAAACATACTGTGGCAGTGCTCCCAGAGTGATAAGAGGCATTATTCAGAGTTTAATTATTTTTAAATGGGCTAAATCTCCTTGTAATACAAACTCTTTATCAGCAGGAATTTATGAAAAGTCCTGATCCACCGCCCCGCAGACGAGCACACGAGGAGCGTTTCTTTAAGAGGTCAAAGATCAATGTATGTAGAAAGATAAATTACACATGAAAAGGTGTCAACCTCGAAACATACTCTGGGAAATGTACGATGGATTAATGAATAAACACAGAAATCCAAAGTCACAGTAAGATATTTTCAGTGATCAATATCTTTATATCAACAACGGGTCCATTAGCTTGTAGCTACTGTATGTAGAAAGGAGGCCTCCTGTTGGTGAATCATAGCTCTTACTCTGCAACTAGCGACTAGCTCAAGAACACAGTGTAGCATTTAGCAGCTAGAAGATACTGATAACAGGAGGAGATGCAACCAGAGCTAAAAGTAAAGTGAATATTGAAGGCTTTAACTTTCATCATGGGAAACTGCTCATCTGTCTGCTGAAAGGCAACTGTTAACTCACACCTTGGCCATTTCAAGAGAAGTGATAATGTGTCAGTGAGGTTTACAGCTTGTTTCCGCTGCCCCCGAGTGGCGTTTATACCAGGTCAAAGTGATAGGTGTGGTAACACACACACTCTACTTTGCCCGAGCTCGCTGCAGAGCATTTCCTACATTACGAGCATTGACTGAAAGCTGCAGTTTGTTTGATAGAATTCAACAGACGGATTAAATCCCTTTTTAAATGTGGACATTTTGTTGGCGTGTTATTGTTTACTTATTACCTCAATAATGAGTCCATGCAGGAGCATATAACATAAATCAGTTTCTGTGAAACATTTTAACATGTGTCACTGTATGTTCCTGCCTCATAGAGGAGTAATCAGAAGTACTTTATTAATCCCCGTAGGGAAATTAAAATGTTACAGAGCCCCTGAGAAAGAGGTGAAACAGCAAAAGCAGGTATAAACATAGCAATATAAAATATAAAAATCAAGTAAGGCTAAAGAAATAAAGATATACATATGTAGAAGTAAAGACCAGGTATTTATAGATTTACATTTGTGCATGAGTAAAGTAAGTTAAAGNAAATCAAGTAAGGCTAAAGAAATAAAGATATACATATGTAGAAGTAAAGACCGGGTATTTATAGATTTACATTTGTGCATGAGTAAAGTAAGTTACAGGTAAAGTTTAAGTATACAGAGTATACATTATTAATAAAGACAGCTGATGTGTAATATCTATATAAACGGTATCTAAGGAATGAAGGAAGTGGGTTTTTTATAATCAGTCCTCCCGTGGTAGAGGGCACCATTACAGTTTAGCGTGGGCCGACACCTCATTAGGATGTATAGTGAGAGGAATGTGGTTAATGCAACCTGCCGTAAGCGATGATTGGGGAGTTGTGGAATGTACTGTAGCCTGGATGTGGAGGAAGCGACAAAGACATTCCAGTACACAGCTTCACTTTTTCCCTCCTTCCTACATTCCTACAAGGTCAAATCACCCTGTATGTTTGGATAAGTGTGAAAGGTGTGTGTGTGTGTGTGTGTGCAAGTTTTGATTTCACTCTTTCTCTCTCACTGCATCATGTCTTATAATATTCACACTAATATTGTGAACATTGAAGTCTGTGGAGTTTCTGTAAATGGGAAAATAGTTAAAATATGGTGTTGAGGTAACTGACTCAAAAATGTGTTCGTCCAAATTCCGGCAGTGTTTCCTGCTCTTGGTTTGTGCAGTGGGAAGGGTAGGGAGTTTGAAGTAGAGGTCGGGGGGGGTCGGTGTCATGACCGGCCATTCCCTTCCAGTATAGTCTGTTTGTCTGACATTGCCTTGTCAACAGGATACAACTTGTGTATGTGCATGTGTGTGTGTGTGTGTGTGTGTGTGTCAGTGTCTGTGAAAGCCATTGGTTGTGGGTCGCTGAATCAATCACCCCACCCTCCGGCAGTGCAGACCTATTGCACTCCAGCTCGGACATTGACAGCCAGCTTACCAGCAGGGTGAGGTCACCTTCACATGGACACGACACAAGTTGTGTTAGCCTGCAGTCATGTCCTGGATGATGGACGCTGTGTAGTGAAGTATTTTCTTCTTTTTCATTCTTGACATACCACACAGAAGTACCACAAGGATGCAGTCTGTCATCAGTGTCACCGAGGTCATGGCTGCACTTGCCACAAGTTTCCAGGCTACATTTAAAGACGTGCACGTGGTTACATTACTCTTTGAATGTGGTTTATTTTAAGCCAATGAAAATAAAAGAATGGATGAATGTATTTGCTTCTTCTCTGAACCATACCGCATCCCTCCACCAAGTTTCGTGGAAATCTGTCGAGCAGTTTTGGCATAATTCTGACTAATAGCAGAAAAACAGAAAGTGAAACAAACACAGGAGGAAGACACAACTTCCTTTGCAGACATAACTTTTAACTGAAAAACTAAATAAGAATTAAATCTAATCTTGCTTTTTCTGTCATGGAGAATTACAGTTGGTGAAATCATGGTAAAGACACATGACCTCCCTTTACAGGCGTCGATACAGCAACTTCAATGTGTTTTAAATGAGAATTAAAGCTTTGGAGTATTTTTAAAGGACATTTTTAAGGATATTAATTTATTGAAAATAAATTTAAAAAGTTCTCAGCTCACAGTTCCATCATATTACCTCACCCTTACATCAGCAGTGTGTGTGTGTGTGTGTGTGTGTGTGTGTGTGTGTGTGTGTGTGTGTGTGTGTGTGTGTGTCTCAGGCCACAGTGACAGGAGCTGCAGTGACGCCTCTTGTAACAGTAGAGGGTATGAGAACTCTTCCAAACTCGTGTCACTGGTCATTGTGGAATAGCTTGTTGCAACCTTGGCACTTTATTTAGCAACTGTGGTGTAATTCACAGCTGGATGACATCTGCATGTGGAGGAGATGGACCCGTGTGCAAGTGCAATGCAACCCGTGCAGGTGTCGTGTGCTTATTATGAGTTAACCAATGAATGAATTGATTTTTTTTTTTTTTTTTTAACACTGATGGATGCCGTTCTGTCCTCTGACTTCTCCTCCTTTAACGTGAGGTGGCAACTCACGTGCAGCCTCGTTTGCAAGTTTGCAAACTGGTATTAAAAAATTAAATGCGGACGTATTTGAACAGAGTTTGGCTCCCACGTGTGCAGATCGTCGCCCTCTACATTCCTGACACGTGTATTGTTGTTTCACATCAACCCTGCACCAAACCCCAGAGGCTTTTTCGACCTTTTTTATTTATTTATTTATTTATTTATTTTTACAATAATATAAGTGATCGCAGCTGAAATCAAGCCGAGCTGGAGAAGTGGGATGTGTCGGTGAACTTCCTGGTGGTGCAGCGCTGAGCCGCCCCGGTGAGAGAGGAGGACGGTGGACATGACCACACCGCTCCCAGAGGAGATTTAAAAACCTTCCATAGTTTTCCCGCACGAGCACCGGGGACGCACAGCTCGAGCGGCCGTGTCCGTGCCGGTGGAGGCGGTGCGGTGCTCCCGAGGAAGCGGCGTGTGGAGGGGAAGCCTCGGCGGTGACAGGCGGTCACAGCCCGCGGTGGGAGCGCTGCTTGTGGGAGGGTCCGGAGGGAGAAACCCCGCAGGACTCACACACACACACAGACACACACTCAGCGGTGCCCTCCTCTCTCAGACACACACACACACACCGGGGGAGTGGACTCACACACACCGACACACGAACCTCCGCTCCGCTGTGTGGACGACACGAGCCCAGCGACAGAGAGAGCCCGTGTGACCTCGGCCTGTTTTTAAGGTAAGTTTCCCTCCGAACACCTGAACCAACAACCTCCTGTTAGCTTCACCGTGCTAACTGAGTGAACCGCAATGGAGCGGGGGGGGGGGGTTTGCGTGTTCCCTGGAAAGTTTTTTTGCGGTGTGATTTGTTTTAGCACGAGTGGTCCTGATGTGTGCCATATGGCGATAACGCGTCACCAAATTCCATTCAAAAAACCCACCGATTTAACGCCGTGCAGCCGGTTCGCAGCCGATCCACGCGTTAAAAGACGCGATCGAGGGCTTGCAGCAAACCGGCGACGGTCCCCGAGGAGATCTGCGTGTTTTTATCGATTCAATCGCGTGTTTCTCTCACGTTATTAAGAGAGTTTACACTTGACCTTCTCGCTGTTACTCCATAGATCGCACCTCTTCGCCGTGGAGCTGATTTAGAGGTTATCGTGAAGAAAGCGTCGCTCAGACTTTATCTGGATTGTGTCAATGCCGATTTTTTTTAAAGAATCCACGCCGGCTTTGGTTTCTGAGAATATCTTCGGTTGAACTTAAAGGGCAGTTGGCAAAAGGAAAGTAAAACTGCCGGTGGGTTTGTGAGTGACGTTTGGTCCCAGGACCTGCAGCTTCCCTGAACGTCCTCTCGGTGCAGGGTGGTGAACTTTCAGCCACGTTCTGTCTCCAACTCCAAATCCTTCAGGTTGGGTCCAGTCTTTTTATGGACGCCAGACAGACACAGATTAAGACAGTTCACTAAATGGCTAATCTCACAGCTCCTCTCTCTCTCTCTATCTCTCTCTCTCTCTCTCTCTCTCTGATGGCTGTTTTTTGCACTTGAAATCAACGGGGAGTTGATTTCAAGTGCAAAAAACAGCCATCATCTGTGTTGCAGCGGTAGATGAATAGCTGGTAATCATCTCCTTCATGAGTTGATGGCAGTTTGTCTCTGAAATGCAAGCAAAACCGAATCCACAAATGAAAAACCGGCTAAACTGACACATCCCATCCCCGAGTGCAACGTTTAAAGACCCCTTGCAGCATTGCCAGCAGCTGGCCTGACTTCAGCTGTCACAGCTCTCCCTGAGAAAGTTGTCAAAGGCTTTGTCAACAAGCCTGTCCACCTGTTGTGTGTGTTTGTGTGTGTGTGTGGTATGGACATGAGGTAAACACAAGGGAACAAGGCACCTGGTATACCGTGCAAACCTGTTCATGGGAGAGGAAAGAACTGGGGCCGCTTCAGCGGGATGTTCCTCTGGGTTAAAGTTGCTTAGGGCAGCTCTAACCTGTTGCCTGAAGGTCACGTGGAGGGCACGACCTCCAGGCACTCCGCCTGTCACTCTGCTGTAAGTTTGATTTAAGCTTCTTAAGATGACAGCTGTGTTTCACCGGCCTGCATTTGCAGCTACACCTTTAATGAGCGTGTCTAATCCAAGAACATCTGTGGCCGTTTACACTGAATGCACAGAATATTCAGCGTGCATGGCCCCGCTCTATCATCCAGGTTGGAATGAAACGCACATCAATGCACTGTTGTCAATACATTTTTCCAAAGCAGATGCGTGTGTTGTGAACTCCCCCCGGTGAGATTCACTTAGCTGCTGTTTCCATTGGACTGATGTGGTGCAGATGCACAAAGGCAGATTTTTCCCTCAGTGCTGTGCTTCAGGCTGTTTTTAGTCTCGACGGGCTGTGTTTTTTCATGGTATTTCTGGATCGTGGCTGTTTTGGTTAGAGTGGTGTTGGGAAATTTGGGATTAGAATGAGAATTACCCTCAAAGTCTGCCTCCTTCGACATAGTGAGGCTTTTTACTATGTATAGATAGTACCCATGTAAGCATAAATAGAAGAGAAAGGGCTTGTGAAATGGTTTTGTATATTGTTAGATGCTCACATGTAAGAATAATCACACACAAAGGCTCATGAGTGTCTTTTTCATTTTAACAGATTGAAGGAAAGTTTATATTTTGCTCCTACCCAGTTGTTTGACTATTTATCTGACTTTGCCTTCATTGTTATTGAAGTTAGTGGATTCCTTCACGGAAGATTCCTATCTTTGCAACTCCATAGTTCAGGGAGTATGGACATGTTGGAGAGGTAAACTGTTGAAATCCATTTAACTGAAATTGAATGAGATATTGGACCCCTAGACTTTTGGACATGGCTTTCCCTGGACCTTGCTATGAGGACCACGACACTTTATTTTGTTGACACTGGAACTGGTGTTGACAGGGTGAAGGTTTTCCCGGTCACCCCTCAGCTACATGTTGGGTGGATCCTGGGAGGAACCCATAGGATACACCTGATGGCCTGGCGGTAAGCCAGACTTCCACCATCACCTCTGCAACAGGAAAGACACTCTTGCATGAATGTCTTTTTATACACATTTATGTACTTGACCTGTGTTATCGGAACTGCTCAGCAGGGGATTTATTTCCACTTTCATGACCTTTTACTGTGCACCTGTCCAACTCGTGGACATCAACACATGTCTGCTACAGATACAGCCGCCATGCTGAAGAAAGTTTACACCATACAAATGTGAGAAGTGGGCAAAACACTGGCACAGTTCGTGGGTATAGGAAGCCAGTGAGTAATGACTCCCCCTTCGCCACCTGCTCCATTTGAAGAAAACTTAAGCCTTTGCTTTAGTTTGCAGTGGAAACTGTTATTCTTTATATGTAGTGGCAATCAATGGATTTTATACTAATCCCAGTGGGTAGAAAACAGGGCTTTTCTGGTGGAGGCGACAGACTTTTTTAAGGTCCGTTATAATCTTGTTCATAGCAATGTTGCTAAAATATTATGGAAATTAGTTATAGATGTTTTATTCACCATTATTTTACATAACTGTTTTTTTTAAACAGCTTTAAGAAACAATATATAGCATGTTCATTCATGAGCTTTACAGATGCTGGTAGCTAGATTTTAGCTGTTTCCCCCAGATTCCTATCTTTTATGCTAACCACTAGCTATATATTTAGCATACAGACAAAAGTGGTATCCTACAAAAATGTGAATGTGTATTTCCCAAACTGTCAAACTCATCCTTGAAGAAGCCATTTATACTACCTTCAAATGGAAGAAGTGAGAGAGCGGGCAGGAATAGGAAAAAAGGAGCAGTGCGTTCTAGCTTACGACTGAAATTGCAAAACTCTCTATGTATAACTTCACTAATGGATTCTACAGCTGTTCTATGTCATACACGTTACAGCCATGCTCAGTTTAAGACCAGGAATCTGTGACTACAGTGTGAACCCAACCATTAAGTTATGTCCAGGGCCTTGAAAATGTAGCTCTGATAACGTCAAGTACTGATACCACACTAGACTAAACCTGGAATAGAACTGATAAGGTTCCAATGCAACAGCATTTCCAGTACAAAGTGGATTCATGACCCTTGAACTTGAATAATTGTTACCATTTTATTGCCCAGCCCTTGAAGCTACAGTAAGAGCTGTTCAGAAGAACAGTTATATTTGAATCTGTAACGGTTTCTCAACCATTTTGCAGTGTGTTGATCTCCGTCTCCGGTGAACAACAAAAAACAAAAAGGCCGGTGTCCATAATTTGATATACGCTGTGTAAGACTAAGGAATGAGACTCTGGTTAAGTGATGCATAAATTGATGTCGTAATGTTGGTGGTTTGCGTGGGAGCTTGTTTAGATGATAGCTACTGCTGATACAGACAGTGAGTACATGGGGAGTCACACATTGAGATGGGAATGTGTTGGGGACTCTTGATGGGATGTTTATTGATCCTCAGCTCTGCCGGGCAGACAGTTGGAGACGGAGAGATAAGGATTTTAAAAGAAACAGCATTTACATCACAGTGTGTTCCACAATTTGAGAACATGATTGCCTCAAGCAGAGATCTAGTGGTTGATTAGATAACATCAGTGTATTCATCTAATTCACTGTGCATCCATCTTTCTAAGGCTTGAGTGGTTAACAAATAGAAGTGTTCAGCATCATGCACACAAACCTTAAAAGCTGCTGTGATAAAACCTAGACTATTTGGTGTAGTAAACTGGCTGGAATTAAAGCTAGGGTTGGTAATCCTGGAAAAGGTCGTTAGAGCAGGTTACACTCTCGTCAAAGCTCCTCTCCCATGAACAGATGACTTTAATAATGAATGGGACGTGTAGCATATTTCAACAAATAAGAAAACAAGTGTTTTGGTACCAACCCCTATCCCTAACATTGGCTCAAGTGTGTAAACTAGGACCCAGTCAGTTAACGTGTGGACTAAAGCACAGCCAGGGAGAGATTTAGAAGTAAATCATTTATGAGCAGTAAAAGGTTTTCTGTACCTGGGATGTAAAGACCTGAGATCTTAAAGGGTTTGAGGTGGCAGTTTACGTTCATAAGAATGAATGTAGTTAGACACTGTGAGCTCTGCTGTCTCACTGTGGCTGCGTCAGATGGCACAACGTGTTGGGAATTCTACAGAAACACACTACAAGGAAAAAAGAGGATCTAGTCAATGGAGGTAATGAGAGTGTGTGTCTGGCAGAGAGTCAGAAAATGTGTTACCTGTATGATGATGACTCGCATTGGTAGAGGGTGTGTATGTTCACTTTGTGTGTGTGTGTGTGTGTGCCTGGTTGCTTTTAGCCTGCTGCTGTGGGCAGCTGCTTTTGCTTTTCCATGCGATTCTTTCCCACATCCCAGAGCTAGCCCAGCGGTAGAGCCAGCCCCGCCCTGCATGCTGGGAATAAAAGTGAGTGACTGAGTCCCCGCTTCTCTTCAGTATTACAGCCTTGACTGCTGTGGGGCTGGAAACCACCCTGGAAATGAGTCAAACTCGCTGCCATTTTTGTACATGCAGTGTGCAGGATATGGGAAGTCCTCAAATGACTCATGTCCTTTAAAAAAGAAAAAGTTAATTTTCAATTTGTTTGCTTTGGTTTGGATTAATTTCATCTCTTACTCGCTGAAGCTGTTCAGGAGTTATAATTTGATTCAGGGGTTTACTGTGTATGTTCCCTTGTAATCTTGAGTTTTAAAAGTCAGTGGAGTGGAACCTG